TATTTAATATAAATTCAAAAAATGTTTTAAAGCATATGGAAAGCTAAGATAATACGACATGTTAAGCTTGTCGAAACCTTAATAGGACAAACCAAATAAAAAGTCATTAGTACGATCCCGAATACTCTGCACGAGAAGCTTTAAACGTCAGAGGCAGATAGCCAACTTCGAAGTATATGCTGTCTTTTCTACAGATCCTGTTTGATCGCGTAGACATTCAGAAATCAAAAACCGTTTCAAAAGAAACATATAACAAATTACCTCTGTAAATACTTTTGTTTTCTTAGCTTAACGTATGATACATGTTTTGTTGATTTGGAGTACATCGAGGGCCTAAAATCTTTTGCATCTTTTTATGGTCATCCCCTCAAAATAGGTTTCTTTTGCCGCAGCATTAGGAAGCTGTCTAAATTCCTGCCTACGGGGATTTATTACCTGAGCTATTATTTTCCATAGTAAAATTAACAAATGAACGTCCACTAATAACGCATTACATAAATGCCCGAAATTAAGTTCAAAGCAAGCCTGATCAAAGATGAAGTCAGTAAAAACCTATTTTTCAGTGGGCATATTAAAAGTTGCAGTAGATCGTTCCCTCCGTGGACTTTGCCAAAAATGCAAATAAGCCTTGGTCTGACGCTTAGGTTTGATAAGGACACAAAACCAATTTAAGGGACATTCGGAGAACGATTGTAAAATTTTGCAAAAGGCGTTTTGGATGATTCTACTATCTTTACTTGAATATATAGTTGTGTAGTATTTGTTTCTTCTGCTTTACGCACTAAACTGGAATATGGAATGAGAAAGTCAAGTAATTGTCGTCTTGTATCGGAGACGAACTGTCGAGCTCTCGTACCTCCATCAAGTGTCCTGTCCACTGACTTACACGGTGGCCGCTGCCGGATCTGTGAAATATCATACGCTCCGTTCCGTATGTTAAAAAACTCCGCTTACGTTTCGATTGACTGCTGATTATTACAGCTAGTAATTCACTTTGGCAGATGATAAGGCACGGGAATTTGGTACTGGGTATTGCAGGTGGCTTTGTGGAAAGGTTTAGGGGGGTTTAGGTTACTGTCGAACTAGGGTGGATGGAATTGGGGTTAGAATTATGAGGATTAGGGTTAAGGTTCGGATAAGGTTTAAATTTAAATGAAGACATTGTAAGAGCTGCCTCCTGAAATTCAGCCCAAGTCCACCTGTGGCGTGGAAAGTGACCCCATATCCGCGTTCTACCTGACAGAAGATGTCACGTGATCCATAATTGAAAAAATACTTTTAGAACTTTTAACACACTGTAATCAATAAGAGCCATGAAGTTACGACCTTATTAAGGCTAAAAAATAAATTTATTTAAGGCAACCGGAAAACAAGTGCTGTCTAATCGTACAACATTTATCTCGTATTGAAAATACGTAACATAAAACTTTTATTTGGCAAACATTATATCGACTTTCCTTTGCGAAGTTATTTCGATTAATTTAGAAAGAGAAATCAGCCAAATGAAATCAATTCTCAATAGGCCGACAAAACGTGTAACGGACATTTCGTCACCAAATATTTCAGATCAGACTGCGATAGAAAAAGTGAAGGGAGACTTGCACACTTAACACTGACTCTTTGCACTTGGGGAAAAACCCCCGAAAATTTTATAAGTTTTAATTTCATATATTATACATATTAATATGTCGTTAAATTTTGTATTAAAAGATTGTTTTTGAATTTTTTACTTAATTACACCTATCCATCCCAACCATATTTTTTAAAGTAATTTAAACCAAATGTCACGAATCATTGATAAATACTTGCTGTAATTTTGCACCTTCTGAAAACCTTACGAAGTAAACTATTTTGGTGGCATAACTTCCGGTAATTTCATTTTAATATAAGTGGCCGCCATAATCATATACGCTGCCAAAGGGTCCTACATTTATTCGCAGCACGCTAAATGCATTTCCAAATAAGACTTCAAATAAACTTTAAATGAAGTAATTTTTTTCAAACACTTTTCAATAATCCATCCAAACTTCCATACTTTATGTGTTTTTTGCCTTCTCAGCATATCAGGATCGTAGCTACTCTATTTTCGGGAAAGCGGAATTTGCTACATATGCTTATCATAACAATTATTGCTAAGCCTTAAAAATGCGCACATATAGTCGAGTCAGCTTCTCGAAAATTCATACAACAAGACATTTTTAGTTTGGTTACATATGAGGCCATGTAACGAACGTGGGTTTTCTCAACATTTACTTACATCCCTGTGGTAACTGTAATTGAACTTTATCATTCTGCAAAATCTTGTGATAAGGCGTGAATGGTAGCAGTTGTTATAATTTGGCCTAGTGAGGGATAATGTCAATTCTTGCGTTGGTTACTGCATGCGGTTTCTCCGCAAAATAATAATACTCCCGATTTCAAAAGTTTGCCTGCATAAATAAACTGATTAGACATACAACAAAAAGGATGCTATAGAGTTCTGCTAAAGGCAGTTCACTGTCTCAGTTTATGCAGAATTATATTTTGAAATTTCTGTTTAAAATTATGTCAATAAAATCGTGACAATTTGCATTAGAGTTTTAGGATTTTGCTCAAAATACTAACTACCTTTATCAATATCCTTTCATAATCCTCACTATTGCGGGCACCTTAGGGCTATTTTCTCAATAAAAAGTATTTTTTGACGAAGTGAAGCTGCTAGCGCACATATGTCATGACATTTCCTTCCCCTCAGAGTATTTCTCGGTAATTCGATTGTTCCTTTCTCTTCATGCTGTTGTTTTTGCATCGGATGAAGACCTGCTGCCTTTCATTAAGTCATATCTTGAGCGTCTTTTCAGGAGATACGTTTTTTGGCAGTCAATGACGCTAAGAATAGTCCCTAAAGTCATAAAATGCACCGCCTATTCATTTGAGCAACAAAATGTTCTCGATATTGCTAGTATGCGCTGGTAAAAGCTTCGGTCATGAAGTACTTTGTGCCATATTTGGAATCAATTACTTTCGGATGTTAAAGCTGTTTTCGAGATTAAGCCACCCTTAGAAAGACTGCCTGACCTGATACAGAAAATACATTAAACCAACTATAAGGTCGGCATATTATCGAATTCAAACAGCGCTGCCACATCACAGGCTAGAACGGTCAATTCTTCCCCGTCCGCGCACATTTCCCATGAACCTCAATAAATCACCTCAGTACACATTCGCTGTACATGCGAGCAACTCATGTGGCAGTTGATTCTCCGGCCTAGAAGTCTGTGCTTGAATTGTCGAGATAGGAAATAGTGTGATTTGCTGAATTACGCAATCCATACAAGTTATAGATGACAAAGATTTCGCACAAATATATGGATACCAAAATTTGGGAATCCCTGATTCGCTATGGTATAGGCTTCAAGGTTATGACAGAATGTCAGTAATTGCGCTATTTGCAACAAGAACATACAGTGGTAACTTGGCAAACCGCCCGGATACTTAATCATCGAGTACTGTCCCTCAAAACGCTGAAATCTGTCATGTACTCTGACATCTCAAACAGACCTGACTTCGGATTTTCGACAATTATGACTGGACAACCTTAAAACGACCGTCACCGAGAATGATGGCCGAGCCATTTGGAAGAAGGGTGGTACAACTTCGACACTGGTATTCGACAATTGTTGCATGTCATTTTTTACTCATTAATTTATTCTTCATTCTGCGCCGAGAAACGGCCTGCGAATATTTATGGTGATCGGAAATTTCATGAAATAAATTTGCTGACCTTTTCCAATGGAAAGAAGACAATAAGGCAAATTATGTTAGTTCGAGCTGCAAAATTTCATACAGCAAGCGATAACTGCCAGAAACCTGCCTTTTGTTTCCTTGGTGCACTTGTCATATGTTGTAAATTGACATTATATATCTAATTGTCTGGACTTTTAAGAAATCAGTTATTTCCGAATTCTTTTATGCATGAGGGAATTACCAGACATAACTGGATGTTCAGCCTATTGTATAAGAATTTGTGTCTGATGGAGTTACTCAGCTAATAAAAGTTAACGTTTTAATATAAAAGACTAAAACTCTGCATGTTTGCAGAAATATGGTCATTTTAGGCGGAAATTTCGAATAATGCTATATTTTTGCCTATTACAGGCGGTTTGAAGGTGTTGTTCGAAATGCTTGGTTGAATAGATATTTGCGTTTTAATCAAAAATGTCAGGTAAGAAGCCCACTTGTTACTTCCGAAAAAAGTTGGTTTCCAAACGTGGTCCTAGAAACTGACGCCCCCGTGGGTCCGCGTTTTTATTACTACAATACTCAAGTAAAACGTACGAACTGGAAAGACATCGCTTGTTCTTTAGGATGAAATCATCATGAGCGGCCGTGAGAGATCCTAATTAAGTGTTCAGTGCCAAATGGCGAAATAACTTGAAAAACATATTTGCGATTTTTCTGTTGATCTTATTTAGGCTTTGGACTGTAGTATAGACTTGATTTTGTGAGAAATAATAGAACTGTCCATGCCAAAATTTACGAGATTTATGGCGGCAGGGATGGTGACTTGCGTAGTCATTATTTTTACTCGCTGTAGAAATGACTTGCTGTCCGTATCTTGTTTTGCGTCCGATCTGGGTTTCGACCAATGTGCAGTAACAACTACTGAGTAGTGTACGGTTTGGATTTCAGCACTAGAATTGTCATCATTAGAAAACCAAGTTCTCCGGTTAACTGGTCATAAACGAATATTTTTAACAAGAAATTTTATTCATCACAGTCCATAAATGATTGGTTTACCTTAAGGCGCACCGTATCTCTGGGCATAAACACAGTACTATAAATACTGCATCCGCATGTATAAATTGGATCGGAATGTTGTTACTTTAAAAGAGCCTTCTGAACGTCTCCTCCCTGGGCGAGTTGTGTCTGTTTTAAGAAGACTCCAGCTTAGTTTGATCTTTTGCATATCAGATTTCCGTGCCAAATGAACTGTTTCTCTCGAAAGCAGTTTTGGCTTCCTAACGATCACTATCACAAGTTCCGGCGGAGTCGGATGCGTCTATGTCCTTTGCCTTCTTGCCGACTCCTTTCTCCCGGCGAGCCAGTTTCCACTGTCTCTCAGCTGAAGTGGTCCTCACGTGCCTTTTGATGAATCGTCTGACAATTTCAAATTTCGTCAAACACTTGCAGCCGCAGAGAAGGCGAATAGCTTCGGAACGTACGTTGGGCAGAAATAAGAGATACACCCAGATGTCTGATGAGTACTGGATTGCAGTAAAGGAATTAAAGAATTTTGTCAGTTGAACAACTTCCTGATGGTACGCACTATTACTTACACTATACTGCATCGCATCCGAGTGCTGTCTTATGGCCATGACGATGACGAGCGGCAGGGAGAGAAAGAGAAAAAGGGAGCAAACACCCAGGTGACCCAAAATTCTTCTCCGTTCTATCTTCTGTCGCGCACTTGCCTTGGCCACCAGTTGTTTGCCCTGCACAATGTACTTCAATTTGTAGCAGATAATCACATTCAGGATGAGAATGACAAATGTCGGCACTGTGTAGGAGCAAAATACAGACATGAGAATGACATAACGTGCACCGGGACTTGTAGGGTTTGAGAGCGCGCAACTGCATTGACCCTCACCCTTGTCAACTATATTGTAGAACAGTGCGGCCGGAATGAAGCTTATGAATGAAAACAAGAAGCAAGCCAGGATGTCCAACTGGGCATACTGTAAATGAATATCCCCTCGAGAATGAATGGGTCTGAAGATAGTGACAGTTCTGTCAATGGTGAAGGAGACAAGGAGCGTTGCGGACAGGAGTTGTGTTGCAGCAGGCAGGTAGGATACGAGTTTGCAGCTCAGCTCGGACTGGATGTCCAGTTTAAATGTTAGCCGGCATCCCGAGGCGTACCAGAGACCGCGACCAATAAAATGGTCCAGGAGGGCTTCAAAAATACACTGAAACACGTGTGCAACAGCAATACCCATTGCATAAATGTTAAATCTGCAAGCACTTTTCTTTTGAAGTCGTATGAATATTACCAGCACAAATAAATTGGCCGGAATACCAACGCAGAGCAAGACGGGAATGACGTACGCTCGGAAATTGAAGACAGCCGTTTCCGTTGAGGACATGTTTTCGGGGCATCCCCCAGAAGGAAACACTATGCACCTCCCAGTATCCATAGCCAAACTGCATGTGTACCTGATTCTGAATTACATGCAAAGCCGAAGAAGTGTGCGGTCCTTCGCAATTGTCATTGGATGTTTGTGCGTCGTTGTAACCAATCAGAAAATAACACCTTCAATACGCTCGGCCAATCAACGGGGCCAGTATGACAACTCGTACCACACCGTCCACATCCTCCCCATTTACGATTTCAGTTCTGATTTCAACCGACTACTTCTGAGTAGGCGAAGTTCACTACACATTCGCTGATTTATCGGGAAAAGTAAACTGGAAGGAATCGGAAATGTTCTATATGCTAAAAATACAGAACATCACTAAACAATCTTCAAGTGGGTTTTGACAGTTTGCAGAATTTTGAGACTGATAGGCCTACAACCATTACGGCCGTAATTTTTAGAGGTAAATGAAGATCATGAGGAATACCGGAATGGCCACTTCTGGCTTGTTCGCCTCAGTCGACCAGTGATTTTTCAAAGTCCCACGTGACGTTGAACCCGAACTTAGTATGTAATTGTTTTTGCTTAGGTTACCAAAACGAGGATTCAGGCTGTCCAGAAAAATTTAAATGCGACAGGAAAAGGCCTAGAACATGAGGATTGATATAATGTCCGAAAGGTGTTGACAAAGGGACTTAAGAATGGCCTTCAGCAGTCTATGCGCATTAAGGGACGTAAGGATGTATTTAAAATTTGCTTTACAGTCACGGGTCCGCAGTGCATGTAGGCTGTCGCGTATTCGTTGGCAAACTGTTACTGAAGACTACAAGGAACATTGCCGGCATCAGCCAGTCAAATCAGTAAGGCTGATGCATCATTAAATGACTATGACAAACAAGCCATAAAATACTATTGCAGTGACTCACCCTTAGTAGTATTACTTCTCGGCATAAGAGAATAGCGCAGTAAAGGAATTTTTCTTAAAAGGTGCTACAATTCTAAATTTGACTACCCATAAAAGTTATATGTCACACAAATTAAACTCAAAGTACCGCATTTGAATTTTATCTGTTAAGGGAGATACTGCAGACATAGTAATCTTGCATTACCTGAGACTTCTGAGACAGGTTTGGGTTAAGCTTAGAAGACATAAACCTCTTTAACACACACGCCTTAAAAGTGATTTTTGAATAAGCCATTCATTTAACAGCGTCTGTGAGGAAGCATTACTCATTAACACATTTACTCTGTAATTAAGGAAAAGAAGTTGTGTATTACAGTCGTGCACTCCTATATCCTAACGGTGGCCCACGTAAAGATTATCGTACTGGGAAATTTATGGTTATCAACCGTTAATTACCTGCTCAGTATTGTTAACAAATAAATATCTCACTAGAACTGCATTATTAAGTTTGGCTGTCATTAGACAAACAATTTATCTAATACAGTCGCGCTTTGGCCGACTTCTGATGTTTTAGCAATAAAATAACCGCTTGCAACTTATTAACAGTCACCACACGGCGTTAGCTCAATGCTAGACGCTCACACGTTCAAGGTCAACGTTTATTACCTCAAATTTGAAAAGTGGAGAATATTTCACCATCAACGGGTAGGTGAGATCTCACTCCATATTATCTACTGTTGCTCATGACCGCCCTGACGTACTTCTTAGGGAAATCCACCAACTCGACTGCGCCCTAGCCTCGCAGTTCGGCCTAATTGTGCGGTCTAGCCGACGAGAGAAGGAAGTTCTTCATTTTCCTAGCGAATTTACTGTCAGCGTTAGCAGTAGCATTAATTACCGTTTAGCTATCCGTGTTGGTATTGCCTCAGTATAACTTACAGACTGCCTTGAACTTCGCGCTACAATCGGATGTGTTGTAGCTGCATAACAAAGCATATGACAGTACGGTTAATGCAATTATGGATGGATGCCTTGCTTGTGTGTCAGGCGTACAGCCTCTCAATGGTGTTACGCTCATACGCACTGGTGTGTATTTCACAACAAACACAACAGACACAATTAAAACGTCTTAAACCGGATGTGAAAAAAGTCCATAATACTAGATCCGGAAGTGAAGAGGCTTCCGCGAAGACAAAATCATGTGACTATTAGAATATGGAGTCTGCTCGTAAAACGTCTCGATCATTTAATGGGTGTTTTAAACATCGAAGGAATTTAATTTCGTCAAACCTGTGTTGGTAAAGAGCATTCAGGCAGCAATCGTTACCTCGATGTCAATCGTTCTCGGTCGTTTAACGGGCATCTAGTGTATGCTGAAATTCACGAAAAGCTAGACGGGGTTTCAAAATAATATTTTAACTAAACAGAACTGCTTAACTGGGGCCATAAAACGATTTTAATGGCATGTCATCCCATTTTGTTGACCGCACTATAACATATCGGTATTTTGTTGAGATTTTTCACTGCCACCTTGGCAAATTCCATTTTTAAACATTTAAGTCCTTAAGTTGTTTTTATTTATTCGTTTGTTAGCGGCCTGCTTATGGGACCAAATATATACATATGGAAAAATTATCTAAAATTGTGTTATTAAGAGCTATTGTATGCGAGCACATTTGCTCATTTATTTTAATCCTCGAAGGCAGCAGAAGTCCATTATGTAAGGCCGTGACGGCACATGCATTTTCCTAGAATAAAAATACATATTTTGTGAGTTTTGAACAAATTAAGGCGTATGTTTGGTTTTAAAATATGCAGGGCTGCTAAAGTGCTCAAGTCAAATGTAAACTCTAGTCAAGTTTAGCTCTTTAAGGGGTCCGAATTTCTGCCAAGTGGATTTAAGTTGTAAAAAATTTAGAAAAAATAACTGTCCTATGAAAATGCTAGTCAGACGTGCAGTTTTTAAAATCGGATTCACGTCCTAGCCAGGAATTAACTAGCCGGTCTATACCATGAAAAGTTAACCGGTACTCTCAAATGTATTTTGGATAAGAAAGGATCGCTAAGCTGGGGTTGTGGACTTGATTTTCGTGAAACATAACCACAATATTCCAGTCACACCGAGGTGTCGGTTTTCAAATGCGCTTTTTTTCGACTGTATGCATAAACCAGATTACATAAAATAATATCTATTTCAATACACATTATGCATTTATTCGACTGACTTCCGGCACGACTGTAAACTCAAATAGATTTTATAGAAGACCTGCAGAAGATATTCATGCACTAATTAAGTAGCAAATAGGTATTTCCTAACTTTTGTGCTCATCAAAATGGTATCCATCGGTTTTAATTATGTTTTTAATTCCTAGATAATTTCAAACCTAGCCTACAGTTGCACTTGTGCTTGGAGGTTCAAATCCCGTGTTGTTTACTTCCTGTGCAGGGGAAGTCGCTCACTTCTCTGAATTATTAAGACTCTATCACAGAGATCGTTTAATCTTGTAATGAATGTAAGCCACGTTGTATACTTCTAAGAAGCATTAATAAACTGACAGGTATGATGCTGTGTGGACAAACATTTCACAGTCTCGAACAGTGTCATGATTGGCAACTTTTAACACCAAGTTGAACCCCGTCTCGAAGTGTAAGATTTAATGAAGACGTAATTCTCTGTCACATGAGTGCAACAAAGAATAGTTGTGTACGTGTTTTCTACAAAATAAATTCATAAAACCATCGAACATCAATGGAAACATCTCATGCAAATAATTCGTCATTTTCTGTCGAGTGTACTTCTTGCAGGCGGGCAGAAAGAAGCTCGTCCGAAAGACATCATTCAGATATAACTGCAAAATTCAATGATTATGCTGCATTGTAATCAATATTACAACCCCAATAAATTAGTCCTTTCTACTAGAAGACACATTTCAGAACTTCAGTTAACCTTTCATGAAATAGGCTAGCTACTGCAGACGATACTAAGTACTTGCACAGAAGGTGAACAGACTTCGACACCTTAGTCTGTAGAGCTCTCGACGGACACTCAATAGGTCAGTGACTCATATTCAGATCCATCCCACAGCATGTGACCTCCGGTTGTGTGATTTGTGTGTCTTCAGCGTCACTATCGCAGAGTGATCAATACTTGTCTGTCGTCGGTGTGTGGGTTACTGTGAAGGCTAGATGCGTGAGCTGTCACAGACCACCACAGCTTTGCAGTGGGAAGCATCTGTCAACTGAAGCCTTAATATACGAAAGCCACAACACAGAAGAGTCAAAACAAGGAGGGAAACACGCAGCCCCCAAATACCACGGCTCAGCGCTAAAAACGTCCAACACCAACTTACAACCTGTACTACAAACAGGCCTATAGCATACGCACCCGGTTGGACGAGAATCTTCGGACTTGCTGTAGTGAAACGCATCTAAATAACCAATCTGCACACACGTCATCGTCATCTTCACTTCCATCCACCTGCCAACCAGTACTACCCGCCACATCGAACAGAAACAAAGAGGCACTTCAAGTATACCCCAGTGGGGCCGTACACTCACGCTACACAACGTCCTCGACGGTCACTTGCGAATGCATCGCACCGTTATCGGTGCGCTGGTGCCACGGCCAGCTGCATGCACCCATTATTTCAGGCTTATGTTCGACACTTTTCCAGGACACAGCATGGATGTTTTCGGTCATTTGTGTTTTCATGGCAATCGTCCAAAAAACTTGCTCCTATCCCAAAAAAATCACCTTAATCCGCGTGCAGTCATATTGCAAACCACATACGAATTTGCGCCACGACACATGCATACGCGGCACTTTTCCGCGACGCAGCATGCACCACTCCTGCAGTAAGCATGCGATTTAACCTGAAAGCGCTGGTATAGCGTGCAAAACGTCGCATGCGGAAACGATTATGTCACATTTGAGTGGGAAGCGGGTCCTTCGTTTCAC